ATATGTATACCAATTTTATATATTCAATTTAAAATTGCTGCCTTCTGTATATCCTGCTTCACCTTTCAAGGCCATTGCTATTGCCAACCTGGTTTGTGGTACTGGCTGGGACTGAGTAAAGACAATATGGAAATCTAGCAGGGAAGAATGAAGGTAGTCTAAGACACTGTCTAGGAATGACCCAAGACAAGGCTGGAAGCTGATCTTCAAGAGTGATTGGGGATGCTTTCTGAAACAAGAACCAACACTGGTACATGCTTCCATATCATTTTCTTTGTTCCACAGAAAGAACTACAAAAGCACAAATGCACTTATACAAGAGTGCAAGTTCACTATTTAAACCAAGGATAAGAAACCAAAAATAAACAAAAAAGCTTTCTGGGCAACCAAAGCAGAAGAGCTGCCAGAATATAACTAAGCCTATTTAGCTGTTTTACATTCAACTTCAGGAAGCAGAGTGATCTGGGTTCCTACTCCACAGATCAGAAGCTGCAATTTTCAAAAAGGGAGCATGGACACTAACAGTAGCTCAAGAGCAGCTTTCCACCACTGAAAGATGAGCCACAATGACTACTGAATCTGACTCAAGCAGACTCAATAATTCAAAAAGCAGAGGGAGCAAACAGCCTACATTTTTCAATCATCTCAAAGCCTTGCTTGATTACTGTCAGTAATGATGCTAGTAATAACTTTGAGATAATTTTTTAAAAGTTTAAACTGTATTATTTAAAAGGAAACAGAGTATATAATACAATGTGAATTTTCCACAAGAAATATAATTAAAATAAGAATCTTCATAATTCCTTATTTCTCAACATTAGATAAATGAGGCATTGCTCTGTACAGAAAGCAGAAAGTCAACATTTGAGAGCATAGAATGATGATAGACTTCACACTGCCTCAACCTGTATTTGCTTCTGTCCTCTTCACATATTCATAATTTCATATTCTTTGACCTCCTTTTATAATGTACTCAAATTAGGACTCTCTCCCCTAAAGGGGTTGTTACCTTGCCAAAAAGTACACGCCTCAAATACACACCAAAGCTCAATGTCTCTTTTCTGTATCAGCGTCCCTTTCTTATCTCACACCGGGATGACAGACATACCCAGCAATATTCTTTAGGTTTCGACAGTGTCATTAACACAGAATCGGAAGTGAGAAGATCTTTGCATTTTCTTCTCTTCTAGGCAGCTCTAGAAGTCATGTTGACATTGTAAGGTGGTGAGAAGCTGGTTTCAGTTCCAAATAAAAGTGTTCTCACATCCCAGACCCAAGTTATTGAACTCATTAGTCCTTAGGGATTACAGAGGCAGCTAAAGTAAGGAAAAGAGGGTGATGTATGGAAGGAAGAACTGCTGAAGAAGCACTTTCGGGAGGAATAACTCCCCTCTCCCACCCACAATATAAGGGACAAAGGACAGTCAGCATCAGTGCTACTGAGATGGCTATTACCAAGAGTGCTAAGTTTTTCTATTAATGCAAAAACACTGGCCACCAATTCAACTGCTTAGTTAGCCTACCCAGAGCAGACTGCAGAAGCCACACCTGACCAGAACCTCCCAGGCTGCTCCCAGGCTGTAGGTTGCTGGAACACCATATAATCACAGAACTGAATTTCAAGCTCCAGCAAGTAACACACTTCAAGTCTATTTTCAACAGGAATCTGAAACAGGTTTTCTGGGCTTTTTTCCCTTTTCGACAGAAAGAGAAACTAAAGAATTTAGTATATACACTAGAATATGTCTTCTTTCCTCACGTTGTTTTCCATTTATGCATTCAACTGGCAAATAGTATAGCTGCATACCTACTATGTACGGGGCCCTGTTAGGTGCAGAGAGAAAAGTATACACTGTGCTCCCCACCTCAATTTACAAAACCACCTGGCACTAAGTCCCAGAGTGAGCTGACATTCAGATTCAGAAGACTGTCTCCTTCTTATTGTTTACAACTGTGACCACAGAATACAAAGAGCAGCTTCCTGCTTCTATTATAAGATTGTAGCAATCACCAAGAGACAATCACTATGGTTAGCTATTTTAAAAAGTTATCAATTCAGGGCAGCGGCTGTTGTTCAGTGGGTAGGGTGCTGGCCCCATATACCAACTGTAGCAGGTTCCAACACGGCCCTGGCCAAACTGCAACAGAAAAATAGCCAGGGGTTGTGGCGGGGGCCTGTAGTCCCAACTAATCAGGAGGCTGAGGCAACAGAATTGCCTAAGCCCAGGAGTTGGAGGTTTCTGTGAGCTGTGATGCAACAGCACTCTACCAAGGGCAATAAAATGAGACTCTTGTCTCTTAAAAAAAAAGTTATCATTCAAGGCTAGGCAGCTATAGCTTAGCGGCTAAGGCGCCAGCTACATACACTGGAGCTGGTGGGTTCGAATCTAGCCCGGGGAGATTATTGCCAAAACAATATTGACAACTACCACCGAAAAACAGCTGGGCACCTGTAGTCCCAGCTATTTGGGAGGCTAAGGTAGGAGGATCCCTTGAATAGAGGAGTTTGAGGTTGCTATGAGATAGGCTGACACCATGGCACTCTACCCAGGGTTACAAAGCAAGACTCTGTCTCAAGCCAGGTGCAGAATCCTAACACTTTGCGAAACCATAGCAGGTAGATTACTTGAGCTCAGGAGTTCGAGACCAGCTTGAACTCTCCTAAACGAAGAAAAAAATCAGCCAAGATTTGTGGTGGGCACCTGTAGCCTTAGCTACTCAGGAGGCTGAGGCAAGAAGATCTCTTGAGCCTAGAGTTTAAGGTTGCTGTGAGGTATGACACCATAGTACCCTACCCAGGGTGACAGAATGAGACTCTGTCTCCAAAAAAAAAAAGATTCTGTCTCAAAAAAGTTATCAATTCAAGAGTTGAAGTATCTGGCTTTAGGATTTACATTATTGAAATTATAGTTAAACAAAGTGTAGGAAGCTGAAATCTGCCCTGAACGTAAAGAAACCAAAGAAAATTTAGGAATTCAAAATCAGAGGAGAGAAAAAGCAGAACCTTTAACACTATGTGAAAGTTGAAATGTACAAGTGGAAATCAAGAGAATGCATTAAGTCAAGGAATTATCAACTTAACACAAAATAACTGCATGATATAAAGTATTATTAAAAGTACAGATGACAGAAACATTGAGTTGTTCTCTAATCTAAGGTACTCAAAAAGAAAAGCAGGACATGTGTTTGTTGTGCTGAGTAGAGTGCCCTGGTTTCATCTTAGCTCACAGCAACCTCCCAGCTTCAAGCAATCTTCTTGCCTCAGCCTCTGAGTAGCTGGGAGTACAGGCACATGCCACCATGCTCAGCTAATTAACATAATAGTCATATTTCTCTAGTAGTCCTAGAGAAACAGCAAGTTAATGTCATATTTTCTTTTTTTTATTAAATCATAGCTGTGTACATGTTAAGGTCATATTTTCACCAGCCAAAAGCTATGAACCCCAAGATTTCTTTATTGTCTTTTATCTCCTTCCATATTTATCACCGCACTTTATCATGAGACTGAGAATCTGAATTATTTTTGTGTGCTCTTTCATCTCCTTTGGTAAGCAATTTCAAATGTGAAAGGTTCTCTGTTGCCTGAATCCATTGTATAGTTCTAGGGGCTAGAGTACATCTATACAAACTTTAGAAAAGTTATTAATTTAATCTACCTTAGATTAGCTATGAGTCTGAGCAAGTAATTTCACAACTTTAACACCTGAACTTCAGTTTCTTAAAGAGATATGTCCTAACAATAAATCATATGTGTGAAAATGCCCTAAACTCAGCTTAAAGGTCCTGCATAAATTCAAGGAATGGTTGTCATACATAAGAACGCTGACCTCTCTAACTCAATTTTCAGTAACCAACCCCAGTGAAATTGATGCAAGAATTTACAACACAAGGAAGGTAGGCATGATTAATAAATGGCAATCTTAACTTTAATAGATTACAGATTTACAAAGTCCAATAACCTAAAAGCTAAAAGACCCCACATTACGACTTCCCTTTCAAGGTGAGAAATCAAACCTTCAGAGGGAAACTGGCTGAGTGAGGATGATGCTGACTACGTGGCTCTAGACCCAAGTCGCAGCATCAAGTATCTCTTCTTCCCAAATGATATACTGCTCACCCATCCCAGTAGTGCTATATAGCCCTTAATAGGGCTAAAATTTCCATAAAGATCAATCATGCCCTGTCCTCTCCATCCATCCTCCTACCCTTTCTCTTCCTATCCGTAAGACTAGCAGGTCATAGAAGCCTGATTAGAATAAATTTCTCCTCAGACCCCCACAACACAGGATGCAGCTTGACAATTGTTCACATTCATCATTAATGGCAACGTTTCAGTTAGCTCTTAATCGCCGGGCCATCACACCCGGAAATGAAATCTCAAGCGCAACCCACTTTGGACTACCATATCATTTCCTTAAGTTGTACCCCACGGCGAGCACCCGGCGCACGACCCCGAAGAGACCGCGGGCTCCTGGACACGGTTGCCACCCTCGCCCGCTTCCGGCCTGCAGGTCACTCGCGCTTCTTGGCCACGAGGCGGGTGCGGTAGGAACCCCTCCAGTGCGCGCTCTTCCCCGGGCCTTTGCAACCGGCGTTTGGTGGAACATGGGGTGTCTCCGGGGCCAGTCGCCCGTGGGGACCGAGCACCGGGGCGAGAGGTGGTCACTAGAAAGGCACCCCCAGGTAAGGCCCGTGCCTCAGGTGGGCCGGGGAGGCGGCGGCCGAGGCCGCGTCCCGTCAGCCGCGACCGCACGCAGGGACACGCGGCCCGGGCCAGTCTCCGAAGCAGCCGAGGGCCCTCTCCTAGGAGCCGCCCGCGGCCGCTCGCGGACAGCTCAGGGCACCAGTGCCCAGCCCCTCGGGGAAGCGCCCCGCCCCCGGGCGGCCCCAGCCCAGCGCGCGCCACGCACCGCGCCCCGCCCGTGTGCCGGTCCGCATTTTCCCGCCCGCCGCGTCGAGGGCGGGGGTCGCGCGCCCTCCCCCGCCCCCAAGCCGCTCACCTGTCGGGCCCTAGGCTCGCTCCATGACCGCCCGCACGACGCGGTGCGGCGCGGCCCCGGCCGCCCCCGCCGCCTCCGGGGAGGGGCAGCCCCACGCCGCGTTCACCGCCCCCGGCCGCTGCCGCCACTGCGGTTGCCGCCCACCCCCGGCCCGGCCATTCCCTGACCACCTCTCCCCGCGCTGAGCCGGTAGTCCCACACCCACCCCCCGCCTCCGCGGCCCCCGACTGTTGGTACGGTCCTAGCGTAAAGCGTTCCCTGTGACCAATCCAATGCCTCACTCGGCGAAACCCCGCCCCGCCCTCCAGTAGGCGGGCCCTACCGGACGCACTCGGGACGGCCTCTCTAACCCTTTTGGTCCCGGGCCCGCCCCGCTTAACTCCATCGTCTCCGGCTCGTTTCTACTCGCTGCCCCGTCGCCCCGCTTACATAAACTGAGCTCTCACTTCTCTCTTGTCTTCTCTTTTTTCTTCCTGCTTTTAGGTAGGTAGGCAGGCAGCGAGACTGGAGAGTTGCAGTCCCCTAGGTCAACTCTTGTTTGTGAGAATGATTTTCCCTGCTCCTTTTTTCCTTTTAATTTGCCTTGACTTCTATACTTCTTCGCCCAAAAGAGGCCAGGCTTCCTACACTGAGTGCAAATGGCTCTCCTTCGGACCAGAACAGAGCTTTTAGTAGCATTTAACAAAATTGTGATTCTTTCACTTTAATAATTGTTTTACATCCTCCTCTTGCCTTGGATCGTAAGCCCCATAAGTGCAGGGCAGTCGCCTCGGGGTCTCCAGTGCCAGGCTCCAGTCAGTGTCCTAGTAGGCTCCTGATAAGTGAGGTAAATGAAAGATTCTCCCTTCTCTTCTGTTGTTTGTTTTCAGCTGACTATACACAGAGCATCCACTATATCCATTCGCTCGTTCACAATATACTAAGCATGGGCTTAAAGTGCCTGCCTCTGAAATATAATGCACCATGAGATCAGATATGTAATGGGGGCTCGGCGCCTATGGCTCAAACGGCTAAGGCGTCAGCCACACACACCTAAGGTGGTGGGTTTGAATCCAGCTGGGCCCGCCAAACAACAAAATAACGGCTGCAACCAAAAA